GTGTCGCGCCCGCACCACGCTCAGCCAGTGAGCGGACCGGTCTCTATATGGGATCCGAACCTTCAGCGGGAGCGCCGCTGCGCTCCCAAGCGCAGCACTCTACCGAGTGCGCCACCGGGCCGGCCATGAATGCCATATAATTTTCACATGTCACAAAATATTATTACTCTTTTGAGTTTTTCCCCCAACCACTTAAAAATGTAAAAACTATTCTTGGCATGGGGGCTGTATAAAAACAGGTGGCAGCGGGGCCCGCCTGGGGTCCTGAGGCATGGATCCGGGGACCAACCCCTCCCCCCCAACCAGGCAAGGAGCACACCCAAAACACCACTTTCATGTGGGTGGCCCATCAAGGCCACCACAATAGCCACAGCTGCCGCAAAAGTGGCTAGATGCCACAGCCACTGTGCAGATGACCCACCAGCCACTCAAGTGCATTGACACAAGAGTCACCGGTAGAGACCAAAGAAAAGAAGAGGATGTCTTTCTCCACAAAGCCCACTCCAGAGAGACAGAAGCAGCATCTATGCTACAATAATAGGGGGGGACCTGAACACACCTCTCAGCACTGGACAGATCATCTAGGCAACAAACCAACGGAGTAACCATTACTCTTTCAGAAGGAGAGAAGAAATCTAGGGTTATCAGAGGTGGGAGGGGTGAGGGAAGGGGTGGGGGGAGACTGGACAAGGGGCATAAAGAATAAATATGATTTGTAATAATATATATGCTAATAATATTGATTTGACCAAAAATAAATGAATTTAAAAAAAACCAACTACGTGGCAGGCTACATTTGGCCCGCGGGCTGTGGTTTGCAGACTCCTGACATACAGTATTGAATGATACATTTTAAACTGAGTTGGGACAAAAATTACAGACCAGGAGAGAGGGTGCAAATCTGGTAGGTAGGTGCCAGGCTGAAGGGCTCGAGTTGGACATGGAGTTTCTCAGGTGTCCCCATTCCCAGGGTTGACTCCCACGTGCTTTGGTCACCCCCAAACAGATCTTGGAGGTCTTAAACTTCATTCACTAAAGGAGTTTTCTTCAGGGCTCAGCCTCCACCCTACATAGCGAGGTCCTAGCAAGTCCCACCAAGGAAGCCAAAGCCTGGTTTCTCTTGGGGTTAGCTCAGCTTCTACTGTTAAATCCTTTCTCCTGGGAATTCTCACGACTTTTTATGGGTGCTTCCCAGAGCAATTATCCCTATTCGTCTTTCAGTCACCTTTTCTTTGCGCATATTCCTTTTCTTGCCTCCAGGCAACGAGCTATTTGAGTGAAGGATCTTGCTCTTCTTGTGAGCACTCGGCAGAGTGCCTGCACACAGTAGGTGCTCAAATACCCACGAAATGAAAGAAAAAATGGGCAGGGCCTGGCCAGGTCTGCCTGCCCTCTCTGAGGCTGCACTCTCAGGTCACCCACCCCTCTGGTCACCTCCTTCCTGGCTCCAGCCCCGTGCAGAGGAGAGGGCAGCACTTTGGACTTAGACCCAAATTTGTATCCTTCTGCCTGTTAGTTCGGTCACCTTGGACAAATTGCTTTACCTCTCTGAGCTTCAGTTTCTGTATCTGTAAGATGGTAACAGTCCCCATCCTACAGAATCACTGCAGTGACTGAACATGACCGAGAACAGCTGACACACAGCAGGTGATTAAGCAATGCTGGTCCTGCCTTCTCAGTGCGACAGCTTTTCAGGTCAGCACCAGCTTGCTCCACGCCCAGTGGCTCTTCCTGGGCCCCAGCGGGAACCTGTCACTTTCTCCCATAAGCTCCCTCGCACGGTTTCAGTTGGGGCACAGGGAGGCGATCAGGGCTACTTTCGGTGACCTTTGATACAGGCACTGGGTGCAGCTGGCACCTCTCTCCTGCCTGGGCACTGCTGGGCCTTAGGGAGGGGAAGGATGGGGTGGGTGAGCTGGGCACAGCTCTCTGGAGCAACCTGCACCTGCCCAGTGCAAGAAGAGCAGACTGAAAACCACTCCCAAGGGGGGTCACTTCCCAAGTCCCCATCCCCTCCTGAGTCCCAGCCAAAGACCCCACCCCAGTCTCAGAGAAACCACAGGAGGGGCTTCCCCGCCCTCCCCTCTGCCCATCATTGGTCGCCTGGAAAGAGGGGACTTACACTGATCTCCTCGTCGGACGTTTCCACCTTGAAAGGGCGGATGGTCTTGTCCTCCTGAGCTTCAGGCATCGCCCCCGGCCCCCACCACCCATCTCCAAGTGGCAAAGTTTCCTCCTTGTCCTGGGAGACAAACCAGTAGATGACAAAGCCCAGCACCAAGGCCAAGAGAATTTCCAGCCACATGACTCCTGCAAGACCAGGGAGAAGCCATCAGCAAGTGACCACCCAGCCAGGGCCTGACACCCTGGCTGGAGACCCCAATTCCCAACAAGCTCCCCCCTTTCTTTCCCACCCCATCCCTGATTTTATTTACACTGGACCTAAAAAAAAAAAATTGGAAAATGATAGAAAAAGAGACAGAATCACCCATAATCCTACTAAGTTATTAGAATTATTCCTCATACTGGGTAGATATAAACCCAGGTTGGCTTCTGCACAGCCCTGGGTTGGGGGGCGCTGGGGGCTGCATTTCTGAGGCCTGGTCTTTCTCTGAGGGGCCTTCCGCTCGAGATGCTTCTGAGAAGGCTCCTCTCCATGCCCTCCTGGAGGAGGAACGAGATCAGGGGCTCAGCCCCTCGCTCAGTCCTCAGGGCACATGGAGGGTCAGAGGGTGGTCGGAGGTGCCGGGGCCATTGTTAGGAAGCCCACCCCTGGCCACACACCTTAGCTGTGTATGTGTGTTTAACAGCTTTATGAAAATATAATCCCTATACCATACAATTCACCCACTGAAAATTCATTGATTTTTAGATTATTCACAGATACCTGCAACCATAGCCACAGTCAATTTTAGAGCATTTTCATCTCCATAAAGAGAAAGCCCCTGCCTGTTAGGTCTCTGTCCTCTTGTGCCCCAGCCTGGGCACTAAGCAGGCACCGATCCACGTCTGGTCTCTCTTGGACTTGCCTGTTACATTTCATATAAACTTGGCTGTGTTTGAATCCCCATCTGTCTGGCTCCCATGTTTTTTCTCAGAAAGGGAAGAAGACCTCAGTCTCAGCAAACCTCTCTCAGGAAGACCCCGGCCCAGCAGTGTCATCTAACTCCCTGTCACCCTTATTCCCAGGGAGGTAACCCACAGAATGCTTGTGCTCAGAGAAACCTGCAGGAAAATGGTCACTGTCCTCAGCACACTGAATCACAGGAGGTTGTGCTGGGTGCGGTGAAAGCTTCGTGTCTACGATGAGGCCTCGCAGACCACTCCCCAGCACCACCCTGGGACTGTCTGGGAAACCCAGCGCAGGACAGGGTCCCTGCTAGGAACCCACCACTTAAGTGCCCCCCATTCGCTACACGTTAGATGTTCGGGACTCTGCTGGGGGTTTGCAGAGGCCCTGGGGTTTGCTTCTGCCAAGGGCTGCCCTCTAAGCCAAGAACTGGGCCACGGGAGACCGTTCTGGAAGTATCTGTCCACAGAGGCCCAGCAGTGGGGCCTCCCAGCAGAGATGCAGCCAGGGCATTGGCTCCTGCCCCCCGCCCACAGCACAGTGGCAATCCAATCAGGAAAACTGGCTTGGTAATCCCCCGTTTCTGCCAGTGATCCCAGTGACACAGATGCCACACCCAGTCCCTGGAGCCATCTGATTCTTCCTTCACACCCGTCCATCGCCAAGTCCTGCTGTCACTCAGATTCAGTCCCCCCTCATGCCCAGCCCCCTCCCCTGGACCAGAGCCCTGTCACCCCTCATTTAGATGATCTCAACAGCTGTTGAGAGGCAAGCCCCAAGCGCATGTCTCGGTCACTAAGGCCCTTGTTAGAAGCCACTGCAGCCTTCTTGCTGGGAACCGTCCCTGTGTGCCCACCGTGAACTTCCAGCACATCTCCCTCTTGGGATTGTGAAACTTTGAAGTGGCTCAAAGTCTCACTGACTCAATATTGACTGAAAGTGTGCGACATGCCAGGGAACAGGCCTCCACCGTCCCAACCGGAGATGGAGCTTGGGTGTGTTGGTGCGGATTCTGTCCCCAGCCAAGACAGGCGGTGGCTTTCCTCTTTCAATCCCAAGCACCAACAGTGCCCGACCCCAAGTACCCTGCATGTGCCAGCTGACTGGACGGATGGCTGGCACCAGCACCCCCACGATGAAAACAAGGATAGGGATAGCTGGAGATGGGTCCCTCTACTTTTAAGAAATGTGGAAAAGAGGGGCCGGCCCGGTGGCGCACTGCTATAGTGCGCCGCTTGAAAAGTGCGGTGGCACTCCCGCCGAGGGTTCGGATCCCACATACAGACCAGCCGCTCACTGGCTGAGCCGG